TAGCAACTTTGAGTTACGATAATTACTATGTTAATTTATGAGATTATAGTAACTCCTTACTAAGTGGTTTACTGTAACGTTATGGTAAATATCCCTATGTGTTATAGTAACCCAACTATCATAAATATGTATTGACATTATCGTAAATTAGTATATAAAATTATCGTAAATGGAGGTGGCTACAGAATAACTTATTTTGTAGCTGGCTACTGAATGTATAGGGAAGGGAGAGTATATTCAGTAGCCACTTTGAGTTACGCTAATTACTATATTAATTTACGAGATTATAGTAACTCCTTACTAAGTGGTTTACTATAACGTTATGATAAATATCCCCGTGTGTTATAGTAATCCAACTATCGTAAATATGTATTGACATTATCGTAAATTAATGTATATATATATATATATATATATATATAACGGACACCCACTTTGGAGCATTTTGCCAGAAGACACTCTGGTTCGGTGAAATTAGGTCACAGGACATCACGGACCGGTTGAGGAGAGAAAACAACGGTGAAATGACATTCTTGCCTCTATCGCTTTCTTGTTCCTCTCTCCCTTTCTCTTTTTTTCCTGTTTCCTGTCCCCACCACCCTCCCCGCCTCCCGCACCTGCCGTCACGCATAATGCCGTCGCGGGCGGCTGCGCCTTCGGCGGCTCACTTCGGCGCCGCGCCCCAGCCTCGCGCTTCCGGTGGGCCGCGCCTCTAGCGGCCTGCTCCGGCGTCAGCGGGTAGCTCCGCGGCGGGCACATACAGCTGCGACCTGCGGGTAGACGCGGACCCATGGGCGGTCAAGGATTCGCGGGCGTAGGTGGGCAGGCGGCCTCATGGATGCGAGAGGAGCTGGGTACGTGGTGGCCGGAGATGGAACCACGGCGGCGCGGATGTGGGCAGCGCTGCGTAGGCAGCGATGTGGGCATGGCAGTAGCTCAGGCAAGAAGGCGCGCACGTGGATGCAGGCGAATCTGACGCGGGCAAAGACGGGCAGCGACGGCGTGGACGCTTGGCCACCGCGAAGACATGGGCGGACCTGGGCCGCCGGCGGTGCGGCGGAGCGTGGCGCCCAGGAGGCAGTCGGGTGGCTCTAGAGTGGTGGCCCTCATGCCAGCTGCCGAGGTCGCGCCCGCGGCAGCCCTGGTGCCCATGGCCGAGGTCACTTCCACGTGCGGCGCGGCGCCCACAGACGACTGCTCCTCCGGCCGTGGCTACTTCTCGATCGTTGTCCGGGGTCGAGTACTCCCTTCGCCGCCTCCGCACCTCTGGTGGCGTCGGGCCAGCCTTGGTGGCTCCAGCGGAGAAGCAGCAGCCAGCCCCGCCTGGCACGACGAGGAGGGCACGGAGCATGTGGACCTCCGAGCAGCGCAGACCTCCGAGGACGACACGAGTGGGCGCGGACTTCCGAGCAGCACGCGGAGGAGGTGGAGGAGGCCGGCCAATGGAAGAAGAGAAGAGGAGAAGAGGAGGAAGAAGAAGATGACAGGTGGGGCCCGTGCGTCAGTGAGAGGGAGAGGGGCGGACCCAACTGTGGCTCAGGGGCACCGGATGTTCAAAACGAATTAGGGGGGTCAAATGTAGAGAGAGCGTTCGAATTGAGAATTAAATATCGAGATTTCTCTGACCCAACTAACAACCTGATCGGTTTCTCGTCGTATCTCAAAAAGAACTGGCTACCTTGTTGGAGTTTCTATGTCCTCGTCATTGTGAGATCGCCGGGATTCGAGTGTTACACCATCTCTCGGCTTCAGCGTGTTCTAAGCAGACACTAAAATTTCCAATAAGAAGTGAAAGATACATCCAATTTGTCCTATTCCGAAAACAAGTTTGAGGAAACGCGTGTGGAGGTGAAAATTTCAAAAATAAAAACATGGGGAATGGTTTCGAGAATGGCTATAGTGTTTTTGGTTGTTATTTTTTTCCCTTTTGTTCTTTCTCTTGTCAATTTTTTTTTTTTTTGCTTTAACATTTTATTTTTGTCTATGTATGTACATATTTAACCTGTAGCCTGTAGAGGCCCAAGACCGTCCTGATTGTTCCTAAAAGCCGTCGTAGAAAACAACAAATCGAGAATTCCTAATTTGCGAAGCAGCTTGCGACTTTATGTTCAAGAGAGAGAGAGAAGGGCAGCAAGCGACCTACGTATTGCCTATTGGGGCCTCCAACAGTCACATTACTCGGCTCAGTAGAGCCCGGCCCAAGAAACCATCGGTGGCATCTAACCGCTCTTCAATTCTTTTTGTCACGATGTTGTTAAAAAAAATTCTTTTGTCACGCCGACGCATGTCTGACTGTCTCCATGTATGGCAACTGCTCGCCTCACGCCGGCCAGGATTGACGACGCCTCGAGTCCCGACTTCCATGCGCGCGTAACAGCAAGGCTAGTAATACAGCAAAGAGCGGTGTATTATATTACTCCTACGCCGCCTTTGTTGTTACCTTGTTTCTGGACTGCAATCCTTCGCAAAGAGGTGTTTGCTCGGGGACAGCTCGGGGACATGGATGTTCTGCTTCATGGAGCACCTCCGCATCTCAAGCGTGCTCAACTTCTTCGCGGCTGTCGTACTCGTCCTCATCGGTGAGCCACGACCACCCCTAGTCCACCCTTCGGTAGTTCAAGATCACCCCTAGTACCAGTATCCAAGATCAAGGATATGATATCATTAGATGCATAGCACAAAAATATAAAGTATCACGTATAGCACGGTTTGTAAGGCCCTGCCGCCATCGTGGTTCTATTCAGCCATACATTAATTACACAGCCATTCATTACATGCATGACCACTCTATCGAGTCATACATTACACTTCATGGTCGGAATTCATGAGTACCGAACATCATTGGCTTAGAATGCCAATCCAAATATGCATAGAGATCATTAGACAGATTCACGGCGCTAGAGACAGGAGAGAAACAAACTACTTAGTTCGCAGCCATGAAGTTTTCGAAAGACAGAGCTGGGCACAACAACGTAACATGTCACATCTATGCAAACACATAAATAGTTGTCTACAACTGGTCTAGTCAAAAGCATCGTGATCTTCATCTTCTGGTGATTATGTATCTTTGATGGCACTGTAAACAGAAAAGGACATCAGTTATGATGTTTACAGATTATAACAAGGGGTATCTGAAACTTGAACGTAAGATGGTTGATATTTGAAACCAGTATCTTTATCAGTAAAAGATTGTTTGTAGTGTATGATTGTTAATAGTATTATATCAATAACCTCCGTATGTTCAAATTTTGAACCTCTCCACCTGAGTGTCCTCGACTTAATAATGCGAGCACTCGTATTTTTTCTGATTTATTTTAGTAGTGAGCTACATTGTTATTTTAGTGGTGACGTCTTGCACGTCGATAAGTGAGATGTTTGAGTGTGTATGTATAAATGTCTGCTTCTATGTACAATTAAAAATTAATAGATTCACAATTAGTCTGTCCGTTTGTATATTTTATACTAAAAATTAATAAATCTCCACTACTTGTTGATCCTATGGATCCCAACAGTGTCTACTCCTTCCGTCCCCCTTTTATATGTCATCCTGGCTTTCGAGAAGTCAAACGTATTTAACTTTGATCAAATACGTACAAAAAATATAAATATTTATTGCACGTAATTAATACCATTAGATAGACTATTGAATCTATTTATGTAATAAATTTATTTAGAGATACAAATATTACTAATATTTTATACAAATCTAATTAAATTTGAGAAAGTTTGATCCGCACATTTTCGTAACAACAAATATTCTTGGGATAATTGTGTTCTTACCCTTGTCCAGTAAGCCAATTGTGATTTTGCCCCTACTTTTTTAACTTTGTGTTTTTACCCTTGTTATTTTAAACTGAATGGTCCATTTGCCCCTGCTTCTCACGTCCGTCATATTAACATGGATTAAACGAGTTAAAAAAATTCCAAATCTAAAAAGCAAGGGCTAAATGACCATAATGCCCCTCATCCTTATCTCCTCGTCCTAGACTGAAGCACGAGCGTCGTCTGTCTACATCGGGCTCGGGCTGTTCGTGAGTGCGGGTTCCCGGCGGCGGCTGTAGAAGCACCGAAGGAGAGGCCGTGGCTCCAGAGCGCGGGCGCGGGAAGGGGCTACCTCCTGGTTGTGGGCGCGGGGCCATGGCTCTATGTGCGGGCACGACCTTCCTCCAGGCACGAGGAGGGGCCACGGCACCCGCCTGCCGGTCGGCCTGCGCGCGCTGGGCGGCGGCGGTGGCGCCCTGCCTCGGATCACCAGCGGCGTCCGCCTGCAAGTCCAGGCGTCCGCTAGCAGGTCGCGCGCTCTTGGCCGCGGGTCGTCTTCTACCTCTAGGCGCCCGGGTGTGTGGCTGCAGGGGCACGCGCGTAGAGGGGCCGCCCACGTCGGGGGCGCGGCTGGGCGGGCGCTGCAGCCGTGTGAGCTCGCGGCGCGGCGGGAGCCGTTGGGCGAGCGTCACGGCATGGCCGGTGGGCGCGCGGCGCGGCGGGTGCGCAGGTGCGCAGCTAGGCGCGCGCGGCAAGGTTTCCAGCAGCGACGCGGCGTGGTCACCAGGCGGCGGCGCGGCTCCTTCTAGTCGAGCGGGAGAACTCAAAACCGTATATATCGGTGTCGTATTTGCCTATTGGGTACCAATAATTCTGATTATTTCTTTTAAAAAATAGTTCTGATTATTCGTGTTTTCTCAGAGTCACAGGTTCTTCGATACAGGGCACAACCAAATGCTATATATATATGTATGAGCGTATAATATTCTAAATGCACAAACAAGTTAAGAAAAGGTCTGAACATTCCATTTTGCAGTACAACCATTTCTAAACAGCACGCCAGTTACATAAAAGATCGACCCCTCCTCGAACATTTATGCATCTTGATATTACTAGTACTACATTCTGAACAACGTGCCATCTCTTGAGAAAGTACACACATATCTCATTGGAGTTGAGACAAGATATATCCAATCAATCAACTGCGTGGATCTTGCCTAAGCGGCAAGAAGATTGCTTCAGGGCGCTGCTGCTTCGACCTGCAAATAAATAATCAGTCATCAGCTGGTATAGTCCCGCTGGTTTCAGCTTAGCCCTTGTTTAGTTACCCGATTTTGGACAACCAAAATTACTGTGCCAGCACTGTAGCATTACGTAGTGTTTCGTTTGTATTTGTGAATTATTGTCCAATCGTTGACTAATTAGGCTCAAAACGTTCGTCTCGCAAAGTACGACCAAACTATGCAATTAATTTTTGATTTCGTTAATATTTAGTACTCGATGTGACCAGAAATCTTCTTTTTATAGTACAAAGTTTAGATTTTGATGGAAACTAAACGCCCCTTTATTCTGTTTCAGCTTATTCTCGCTCCCAGAATATACCATTCTATCGTCCAAAACCAACCGAAATCTACTGTTTACCGGACCATCCGAACGTGCTCAAGAATCAAGATCCAACACATACCAGCTCCGTCGGTGAAGCAAGTACGCGCAGCAGCCTCCGACCCCGAGAGCGGTCGCGCCCGCGGCCGCCACAAGCATCGGCGCCGACGTCGAGGACGCCGCGGTTCGAGCCAACCTGGTTACCTGAAGGACCCTGCAAAGCTGAAGGACCATGGATACCTGAAGGACCCCGAGCGACAGGAAGAGGAAGCAGGTGACGGGGCCCAGCCACCGTCTTCCTCCGTCGGTTCTTGGCTCCCAGCAACCGAAGCGCCTGCCGAGCAGGAGGCCGACGGCGACGTAGGTCACCCCGACGGAGGCCACGGACACCAAGTCGCCCCACAAGAGGTACATCAACAGGCCGGAGTAGGAGGTAAGCAGCCCGAACAAAACGAGGCGCCCCTTCCGGAGCTCTTCCTCTCGGTGGTGCTCAGTCTGCGTTGCCGAGGTCGGAGTGAAGGTATCCATTGCTAGCTGTGGGAAGGAGAGTAAGGAAGAGAAGGCAACAGGGTGTAGGCGGTACTGAGGAGCCAAGAGGCCCTCTGTTTTTCTGAAAGGTTATAAGAGGTTCTCTTGAGCTAAGGAAGCTAAGAGCGAGGTTCTCTTGAGCTAAGGTTGATGGGACCCGCTCGGAGATTGGTACTTCACGCTGACGACTGACGATGGTGAATCGCCTCAATAACTTTTTTAATGAAAAATCTAACAGTATCAACTCTAAACATATTCTTTCCACAGCTTGCGATGGTGGTGTCTCGAAATTCTGTAACAATGATATCAGTTTTAGCATTAACAAACTCTAGCGCTTTGCGACATTTTCATGCTTTATTTGACCATGTACCGAGGCTGGATCCTTACTCGTGAAGCAAGCACCATCTAGCCAGAGCGAAGCTTCCCAATACTACACATCAGAACCGCAATTAGAGCGGACTGAGCGTGGGTTGTCATCAACTACTCTAGGCCAGGCAATTGGAGTGGACTGACCTGGTGTAGCGGTGTCCAATCTATTTTTTTGTGGTTTCTTTATTGGTACCACTATGCAGAAATTACGCCTTCATCAAAACCTATCAAATTCAAACATATTCTTTCCCCAAGTTGCGATGGTGGTGTCTAGAAAGTTGTTAACAATGACATCAGTTTAAGCATTAACATATCTGGCGCTTGTGTCATTTTCGCGCTTTGTTTGACCATGTGCCTAAGCAACCGCCGTCTGACGAGAGCAAAGATTCACATCACATCAAAAGTACAATTTATTTGTTTTTACTAATCTTGCTCTCATTAATTGTCAAATAACAAGGCACTGGGGAAGCTTCCTGGAGGTTGACCAAAATTTCCCTTCCTTCGTAGCTGCACGTCACGTTCACTTGGCTGATAAGCCATGGTTGAAAGTAACGTTGGTTGATTTGTTGTGAGAGAAAAATACTATTCGTTGGCTGAAAAAGTACGACTTATAAGCCAAGCAAACTGGGCGATATAACTACTTTCTTTAACGCTTTAGGAATCCCCATGGGCGTAATTAGAAGGAGTAAATATGAGTTAATTATAAAACTAACTGCACAGATAGAGACTAATTTATGAGACGAATCTATTAAGCCTAATTAACCATCATCATCAGCACATGTTTCTTGTAGCACCATGTTGTCAAATTATGAAATAATTAGGCTTACTAGATTCGTCTCGCAGATTAGTCTCTATTTATGCAATTAATTTTATAATTAATTTATATTTAATACTCTAAACTATTGTCAGATATCCGATGTGACGGGGACTCAATTTTAGTGCCTGGAAACGAGCCATGTCTTAGACTTAGAGCAGCTCTAGTGCTACAGCGCACCATATGGTTCCAAAGGGCTAAACGAAAGTTCTGTTCGGCAACCTCCTGTGTGGACATCAGTTGTGTGGGCCCTATACACATAAAAAGGACTATTTCTCTATATGCGGCTCAGTAGACGGAAAGTTCCAACCTATGCTCATTTGTGTTTGTTTGGGATTACTTTATTCACCTGTGTTCGCTGAGTCTGTAGCATCTGATTTTGCTTCTAGTGTCTACGGTTCGTTGGCTGCAGTGTTCATGGTTTGGTTAGACAGGCTCTTGGTTTGATATTCATCACACTGGAGCTGCTCTTACCTGCACATATGACTGAGGCAAAACAAACGTACTATTTTTTATTGTAATGTGGATCCACTAATCGGCGCTCACACCAGGGAGGACGAACCATCCTCGACATCGATTTTGACAAGACCAGCCAGACTCGGTTCGATGTTAGCACCGGAGCTGCCCTACGGAAGCTAAGAGATTGAGGATTTTCTAGATGAGTACTCGCTCCGTCCTCTAACACAGTACATCGAAGCATTGAAAATGTGTCCCTCTTCCGCACTGCTTTAGCAGTATTTTTCAGCGATGAAATAATATTTTTCTCTCACAACAAATCAGCATAAGCCAAATTTCAGCGAAACAAATAGGCCAATGCATTCTAAGAACAAAAACCAATTTTGCATTAAAGACTTTCCATTTATTAACTAATCACCATTATTCGCGTTAATGACAGCGTCTGATCTAAAAATAAAACGAGGATATATACGTCTTTTATATTCTCTCTTAATTTATGTTAAAATTTCTATAATGCCCTGTACCAAGTAGAGACGGAGGAGCTTAACTAGTTCCCCTCGTTTGCAGCTGCATTTGTGTGTTCATCTGTCAGAGATGGGACCCGCTCAGAGATCGGTACTTCACGCTGACGACTGACGATGGTGAATCGCCTCAATAACTTTTTTAATGAAAAATCTAACAGTATCAACTCTAAACATATTCTTTCCACAGCTTGCGATGGTGGTGTCTCGAAATTCTGTAACAATGATATCAGTTTTAGCATTAACAAACTCTAGCGCTTTGTGACATTTTCATGCTTTATTTGACCATGTACCGAGGCTGGATCCTTACTCGTGAAGCAAGCACCATCTAGCCAGAGCGAAGCTTCCCATTACTACACATCAGAACCGCAATTAGAGCGGACTGAGCGTGGGTTGTCATCAACTACTCTAGGCCAGGCAATTGGAGTGGACTGACATGGTGTAGCGGTGTCCAATCTATTCTTTTGTGGTTTCTTTATTGGTACCACTATGCAGAAATTACGCCTTCATCAAAACCTATCAAATTCAAACATATTCTTTCCCCAAGTTGCGATGGTGGTGTCTAGAAAGTTGTTAACAATGACATCAGTTTAAGCATTAACAAATCTGGCGCTTGTGTCATTTTCGCGCTTTGTTTGACCATGTGCCTAAGCTACCGCCGTCTGACGAGAGCAAAGATTCACATCACATCAAAAGTACAATTTATTTGTTTTTACTAATCTTGCTCTCATTAATTGTCAAATAACAAGGCACTGGGGAAGCTTCCTGGAGGTTGACCAAAATTTCCCTTCCTTCGTAGCTGCACGTCGCGTTCGCTTGACTGATAAGCCATGGCTGAAAGTACCGTTTGCTGATTTGTTGTGAGAGAAAAATAATATTCGTTAACTGAAAAAGTACGACTTATAAGCTAAACGAACTGAGCGATATAACTACTTTCTTTAACGCTTCAGGATTCCCTGGCCTCTCAATATTTTTTTTGCTCACCCCTCCTCCTGTACCGCTGCGGCATTTCCCCTCCTCTACGTGCGCGTCATTTGCCTAGGCCTCGTTTAGTTCGGCCACCGGCGCCGCCGAATTTTCGGTGGTACTGTACCGTTTTGTTTTTATTTGGTAATAATTGTCCAATTATTGACTAATTAGACTCAAAACGTTCGTCTCGCAAAGTACAACCAAACTGTGTAATTAGTTTTTAATTTCGTTAACATTTAGTACTCCATGCATATACCACAAGTTTGATGTAACGGGAAATCTTTTTTTTACATAGTATCAAATTCTGAAATTTGACGGAACTAAACATGGCCCTAGTTTCTTCTATCGATGAGTGGCATTGCCGCCCGGTGTTCAATGAAAGCTTGTTTACGAGTGAGGAGTGTTTCTTTAAAATTATTTGGTGTATTTCTATTTATTATAGTCTCCCGTATTGTTTATGATCTAACTTTAAATCAAACTTAACGAGTTAAATCCTATGAAGCATTCAAGCCGAGTCAAAATCGAATTTAGTTGAAAATCAGATAGCTTTGATTTTCAATGAGAACTAGTATATATAATCGAAGCAAGGCTTTGTTTAGATTGCAAATTTTTGCAATCTGGATACTGTAGCACGTTTCGTTTGTATTTGACAAACTTTGTCCGATCATGGACTAACTAGGCTCAAAAGATTCGTCTCGTGATTTACAACCAAACTGTGTAATTAGTTATTTTTATACCTACATTTAATGCTCTATACATGCGTCCAAAAATTGATGTGATGGAAAGAGAGTGAAAAAACTTGAAATTTTGAGGGTATCTAAACAAGGCCCAATTTCAAAACGAACCACGAGCCACCTCACAGAGCTTTCATCCCAGCCCCAACTATTGTGATTCTAGAGACCAGAAACCTACTACAGTGAGATGAGTTGTAAGATCTTTCAAGAAAACGAGCTTCGGCTAACTCTCAATGTACTGTATCATGTCACTCTTCAATTGACATACAATGAATATCAGATATATCGAATTATATTGGTGATAGAGTTTTTTCCCCCAAAATTCAGGAAAGATCTCTCAATTTGCATAGAATATCACATAGATTCTTTCCAAACCCATTTAACACCAAAAACTGCACATAATAATAACTACGAAATGACTCTCTTACAGCTCATACTTATTGGTACAACACATTGGATTACAAACTGGATGCTACTCTTTCTAGCATAAGAGAACTGAGAACTTAGGTCCCCTTATGATCTAATCGGCCGCTTCCTCATCATGGATGACGAAGAAAGCATAAAAACCCAACGCGGTGGCACCGGACATCGCCCAGACGAGCACCGCCACCGGGAGTGGCAAGACTGCGGCCACCTTGTAGGCGAACATGGCTGTGAGTAGCGTGGTCAACAACCAGACGGCAACCTTTATGCGATGCCTTCTCGGGCTCCCTGGCTCTCGCTCATACCACCTCAGGTAGCAGAAGAGAAAGACGAGATCTATGTAGGAAAAGCTCACCAAGGCGATGGCCCAGAAGTCGTCCCCCGAGCGGTAGAGGGCCATGAAGCTGTTGAAGGTGAGGAAGGTCCAACCAACAAGGGTGAGCCACGAGGAACCGCCGCGGTCCACCTGGCGTTGGCGAACCTCCCGTAGTCGCTCCTGTCCTAACTCCGCGTGGTGCTGCGGATCCGCCATGTCGATGGCGCGGGCTGTCTGGGACAAAGGGAGAAGAAGAACAGTGTCGGAATGTGCTATGTTAACAAGGATGCGGGAGGAGACCAAGGAAGCACAGGGGGAGGGTGATGTTTAATACTAAGCGCATAGTCTTCTAGGGCCCTGTACGAAGAGAGCAGGCGAGGAGGTGGCGTTGTTCCTTTCGCTCAAATTTGGCTTAGGATGACGTTGAAATGTTGCGAGAGAAGAATTATAGTGAGATGAGATGTGACCCGACGCGTCATCGGAAATTTTTTGCGTGGTCCGGATCCCAGATTCCAACCGGGCGACGGGGGCATATACTGCAGTTCATGATTCATCACACGTCAGCCGTTTGTGCAGAAAGCGCTACGGAAACAGTTACTTTGCCGAGTGCCCTAGGCACTCGGCGAAACCCCAAATACACTCGGCAAAGACTTTACCGAGTGTAACACTCGGCGACTAGCACTCGGTGAATTTTCCACCGGCAAACAGATATTTGCCGAGTGTCAAATATCGGACACTCGGCAAAGGGTTTGCCGAGTGTCAAAAAATACACTCGGCGAAGTTAAACCCTCGGTGAAAAGGAGGTTAACGGCGTCCACGGTAACGGAGAGTTTGCCGAATGTCAGACGGAAGACACTCGGCAAACATGTTCAACTTTCCCGAGTGCCAAGCCTCCGACACTCGGCAAAGAGGGGTCACCCCGCACCATTTTACTACGTTTTTGCCGAGTGTTAAAGCCAATAGACTCGGCAAACATCTACGTTTTTGCCGAGTGTTTTGGCTTTAACACTCGGCAAACATTGCACACTCAGCAAAAAATTGCCAGAAAAACAGAAACTGGCCTCTTTGCCGAGTGTTAAAGCCAAAACACTCGGCAAATGACCTCTTTGCCGAGTGTTATACTCGGCAAACTGTCCAAACCCCCCTGTTTTTACTGTTTCGTTACGTATAAAGGACCCCTCTCCAACAAAAATCACAGGCATGTATATTACATCATAGGCATATATTAAGCATCACAGGCACATAAATAAGTTCTAGTTTATTCGAGAAAGTAATCCACATGTTCTAGTTTAAACAAGTAATGCACAAATAATCTACAAGTCACTGAGGAGGAGGCCCTTGGAACCACTATGACTGATCCGGGTCTTGTGGTTGAGTATTCGAAGCCACCGATTGATTCTGCACATAGGAGAAGACATGTGTGAGACAATATTGATATCATTTGAGCTAACTAAGGAACTTGTCTAAGTTAAAGTATTCAATCTAATGTGTCAAGTGACTCACAGGAGTAGATGTGGGTGGCTGACGTGAACGGAATAGCATCGGTGGCGGTGGCAAAGATTGACACATGCTCGAAGCAAAATTCTACATGTATTGGAACATCTGGTCCATCCTCATCCGATTTTCTTCGTCCATCCTCTGCCGCTCGGCCTCTAACCGCTCCACCCTCGCCTCCATCTCCTCCCGTTGCTTCTTTTCTGCTTCCACATGGGCCTAAAAATATTTCATCGCAATGTTACAATGCAAAGCAATGCAAAGCTAAAGTACGTAAGAACCAACGAATGATGAATGGAAGAGAAAGAACCTGGAGAGCCTCTATCTGGAACTGTGCAGTGGTCGGCCGTGGGCGTATCGCTGAGCTCGAGTCCGTGCTCCTTGCTCGGATCTAGGAGAGAGTGGGAGTAGAGGCCGTGTCGATTACGCTGTCGCCAATCCAATACCGACTATGCTTCTTACCTCCTCCCACCCTCATCACGATTTCTCTGTCAATATCCTAGGAGCTCGGATCGAACTCTGGCCTGTGAACCTCCCTTGCCATCGCTGTATACTGGGTGACGCGGCTATGGATGCTTGGATGGCTGTACGCCTCAGGCGGGTCCTCCGTGTTGAAGTCGATGTCGGCCGTCGCCTTGCCCTTTTTGGACAGAACCCATGCCTTGAGCTGGGAGCAAGACTGGCCATCATGTGACGACGATTACGGCAAAAATGCAAAATGATTAGAAATTATGCAGAATTGAGCGTTAGAATAAAGAAATGAAGTTGTGTACCCATTTTCCCATTTTTCTCTATATTCATCAAGGCTCAGCCTGCCTTGATGGTGTGATGCACCTGGCATCTGCAAACGCCGCTCCCGGCAAGCAAGGTGGTGCTCCAACCACCCGGGCTACAACCACTCATCCACCATCTTTTCACAGCACCGGATATGCGCTCGGCACCACCACGGAGGCACCTACATCATCAAGCATGTGACTTATGAAAAAAGAAATTAAACGTAATTAATCTCAAATAAAGTAAGTATCAACGTTCTTTGCTTACACTCATGAATTGGTCCTTGGTCAGGTTTATTGTCCTTGCCTCCTATTTTTTAACCTTCATGGTTCTGTATTGAGCATAGAACTCGATGATGGCCTGGACGCACGCCTCGTAGTGCATGTCCTTCACGAGCTTCTTGGCGGCTTTTTCAGAGATGGACTTCGCCTTGGCCTCGAATCCCTCCTAGCATCTGTAGAAGTCCTGCATATAGAGGCGATGTATAAAGTTATTATTTCAAGAATGTCTAGTGAAGGTGATGTATTGAGCAATGTAGTGCGAGGAATACTTACCCACAGCTCGCCCTTCACCCGCTCAGCTATGTTGGTGAATCTCCTACGATCACGATCAGGGACGTCGGGGGCGGCGACGTAGTGGTCCCACGTGTTGGCCGGCTGCTGCTGTCCGGCGTACGCCACCAAGCCAGGGAAGTGTTCCCTGCACAAAAGGCCAAGGATGCCGTTGACCTTACGGTTGTGATCACCCCCACTGAGCTTAATCTAATTCCTGCATAAGTGATTAATATAAATTATTAGTTTCTTTTATAATTTTCAACATATCAAAATTATTGCGAATATTTAAAGTTACTTACCTGGTCCCTGTCGGTTTAATCAGCAGGCGTCTGTGCTCAGGTATCGGATGCCTCGGGAGGGATGAGGGACCTCGCAACCAGATCTTGGACTGGGCATCCCCTGCCTCCTCCCCTCCCCCTCCTGCTCCTGCTCCTGCTCCAGCTCCTGCTCCTGCTCCTCCTCAGAGGCGTGTGCGGAAGGTACCTCCTCCTCCTCAGACGTTGGGGGGTCAGGTTCAGGCGACGGGGGCCTCGCCCTACCCTTCCGTCGACCCCTCTGCCTCTGCCTCTGCTCCTGCTCCTGCTCCTGCTCCTCCTCCTCACCCCTGCCTCAAGGCCTGCCTCGACGTCTCCCAGAACCTGACCGTGACCCACAACCTAAACCTGAACCTGAACCTAAACCCCTCCCTACAGCGGCGATTCTCTCGCAAATCGCCGCGAGCTTCCTCGTAGCGCCCACCATTGCTCAATTACCTGCAAATAAAAAGAGTAAACCAATCAGTACAGATAAACAAAACATACTTAGAAAGATATGCAAAATTAACTGAACATACTTCAAAAATAACATGGTATGATAAATAATAAATAAATTAGTACAACTCATACATGTATTAGAAATAATCGTCATGATCGGGATTAGCTGGATCATAAGTCTCATCATCACTATCACGCGTGTCGATATAATCATGCCAGTGCTCCGAAGGAGGAATGTCGTCATCACTGTCATTGCCTAATTGTAATCGCTGAAGTAGTTCTAAGTCCTTCACATTCTGAACCTCGTCTCCAGCGTCCTCGTCAGCAAACTCTTCATTGTCTACTTCCATTCCGATCGCTTCGGTTAAATCTATCACAAAACTCCCTTTGAGCCCATCTTCTTGGAAGAATTCTCCATCATATGTGTTGGGGTCTATATTATAATCTCCATTGTTTGGTACATGTAGTTTACAGTGTGGCAATACCTTGTACACAACATCCCAACCCTTAAGACGGCTGTCGGTTTGGCACGGGTATGATAAATAATAAACTTGCGTGGCCTGTTGAGCCACAATATAGACGTCGTCTCCTGGTAAGACGGATGATTGTCGAATTCCGACTAGCCCAAGATTAGGGGTGCGTCTCACGACATCTGGATCAAACCAATGACATTTGAATATGACTGGATTAAGAGGTTTGCAACCATGAAAAGTTAGTTCGTATATTTCTTCAATTATTCCATAGTACTCGACCCCATCAAAGCCTGGCGTAAAAACTCCGGTATTTGTGGTTCTTCGATTGGACCGACTCTGCTCGTGCCTTATTGTGTGAAAGCGATATCCATTGACGTCATAACCGGTAAACGACCTGACCTTATAGGCACAACCATCGGCAACCTGTCTCAACTCGACATTCATAGACGCTTCGGTTTGGCCCTGCAAGTTCAAGCAGGGTGGTGCGTTTTATTATTTGCATGTATGAGCAACTTGTAATATCAAACTAAGTACGAGCTAAATTGGACTGTACCTTCTGCTTGAACCAAGAAATGAAATCAGGCTTTCCATTTTCCGCACCCTCTTTGAGAAGGGTATCACTTTTGTGCGGGGTAGGTTTCCTTGATCTACACCAGAATTGACGATGAAAATCCCTGTACCAACAAGAAACATGGGAGTTGGACACAGAAAAGCAACTACTTGAGAAAAAGTTTGTTGAGAACAAGTTTGTTGAGAACTTACAGCATGTATGGCTCCACCTCGGATAGGTTGGTCAACACATACAGCATGATAATGCGCCATTCTTCATATTTCAAGGTCTCGTGGGTCGCACCACTTGCACTTCTGAGTTGCCCTCGAAAAATGCTAAGGCTCGATTTATCTCCGTCGGCATTGTAACGAGATGGTGGATTATGCACACTAGGAAGGTTGTTGGCATACTATTTTGTTGTGAAGTTTGACACCTCCTCCAGAATGTATGCCTCTGCAATGGATGCTTCAATTTTGCATTTATTTTTATATTTAGTTCGAAGAATCTTTTGACATCTCTCAATTGAATAGCACCAACGGCCCTACATAGGCCCCCCCATTCGTGCTTCATACGGGAGGTATAGAATCATATGCTGCATCGGATTGAAGAAGCTGGGTGG